CCTCCGCTGTGTTGTTGCCATCTGCTGGCAGCTCTTTATTAGTTGCTTTAAACCAGCATAAATTAAACTTTTATGTATGTATGGAACAGTAGGGTCACTTTTTGCGGGGGACCACATGAAACGAGGAAAACTAAAAACTTGTGAAGCATTTTTATCCCAGAGCCTGGCTAACGCGTACTGTTTACTCGCTGGCAGAGCACCGCAACTTGATTCCAGTAAGTTATGTGATTTACTGGCACAGGCCAGTCCGGGCACTCAGTCCCAGCCCGCTATTAGAACTCAGCATCAAGTGATGGAAAGATAAACAACAATATCCATTTCTCCAGGACTTCAGAGGGAAGACAGCAAAATCTAAATGCTGCTTTACTCGTGTAGCAAATGTTCACAAAGCATGGTTTGTACTTCAGGTCTTGGAGTTGGACATTTAGAAATTTTCTCTTTTTGGCATTTTTTCTTAAACAAAAAGTGCTAATAAAAAATGGGCGACACACATATRACATGTTTGACTTTTAGAAGTGACAGGAGGCAATTCTTAAAAGGTTATTCTATAAATATTAAAAATATACCCATGTTTAAATCTTTTTTGAGGTGCATTGTAGTCAAAAGTGGCAAAAACGTGACTTAATTTGTATTTCTCTTCGGAAGCATGAGCTAAAACATAGATTTTTATACTTGGAACAAGAAATAAAAGAAATTTGTGTTGGCTAGATTACTAGTTTTATCAATGCTTTTTGGCAATAAATCTTATAGCGGGCACCTGATTGGGGTATCTCAGATGCTCAGAACGAGTGAAAAAACAGACTGGCAGTAAAGGGTAAAGGGAAATTCTTGGTGTGTGGGCGGAGTTTGGCAAAACCATGATTAGTCATTGGTTGTGGGGAAGTTAAAGATGAATTAATGGTAATAGTAAAATTGTTGTGAACATGAAAATATAATTTGTTGACTTCAAATTTTGTGGGGCTAACACCTTCCTGTCTTGAGTTATGACTAATATTAATATTCATATTCAAAAACAGCAATCTTTCTCCAGGAGGTTAGATTAGACTTAGATTAGAGAGACCCTTATTGTCATCGTACAGAGAGCACAATGAAATTACAGTTTAGAACACCCATTCAGAAGAAGACAGAACAAAACAAACATGGGAGAACAGGTGCCCTGGGTCATTAGTTAAGGCTGTTTTGACCAAGCTGGATCGATACACATCCCTCCACATGTATGACGTTCATCTTTTGTGCAACTAGCACCTTCCTGTCTCGAGTTATAACTAAAATTAATATTTACATTTAAAAATATGGGCGCTTTCTGGCCGTACACATCCCCTCGGCTGACCGGTGTTTTTCCAACCAAATTGTCATCACTTCATCAAACCCCACCCAAAATAGTCAATCTGACCAATCACGTTTTTAATAAACCAATATAATATAATATAAATGACCACATGATCAAGATGGCGGCGGTGGTGGAGAAGAACCTCAGGTTAGCCTGTTAGGTTTAGCATTAGCCCCGACGCTATCACCATATATATGTATTAGCTCAGCGCTACACATTCTCCTCTCGTCACTGAGGTCCTCCATNATATTTTAAAAAAATTTACAAAACTAAGCCTACAGTATTTTTAGTCTTTATTTTACAGTTAAAATATATGTTTATCAAATAAAGTTTAATGTTACAACTAATCGTGGATCTCTTTAAAGCTAAAAGACGAAAACTGCAGTTTTTTATATAACTTCATTTGAATGCTTTGAGACAGATTAAAATTTGATACAAAGCACTTTCAAAAGTCCTTCTGCACATCCTGTTGAGCTTCTTACTTTCGGTTTTCACTAACAGAGACACGCCTGCTCTCTGCTTTTGGAGTCGGAGGAGCTGCAAACTGGCGTGTCCAAGTGGCAYGCAGAGGAAACAATGCCACCATGCCAGGATCCCAGAGAGTCTTGACATGAAAAGTGGAACAGCTTGTGGGATACCCATTGCAGTTTCAGTGCCAGTAAATTTTGTTCCTGGACTTTGAAAAGATTGCGAGCACGTACGTGCGCAGACATCCACAGTCAAATCCCCAATATCGCTCCGCAGATTAAGTCCAGATGGGAACAATGAGATGAGTATGAGGGGTTTTGCTGTGTAACTGAAAGCACTCGGCCTTGTTAACGCACTCCAAGACCTTGCTTCATCCATCACTGTCCAGATGTTCAGCAAAACATTTTTCTTTATTTCTCAAGAGGGACCAATCCCTCTCAAAATTAATTCCCTTCCCATTCCACTTGCCTTCACAACAAAGGCGCTCATAAAAACTAATTGGATAGTTTGTGGTCTTTATGATCAAGTTATCAAGCCAGTCAACTTGAGTCGCAGAGAGCGAGAGATGCTGCTGACGGACGCTTTCTCGGGACCATTTGTGCACCGTGACACCATTTAATCCTACCATTGGACCACAAAGCTTCCCAATCCTGCATACTTCAATCAACTCCACTCACCACATCAGGACTGTAAGGATCGGATCCTTGACTAAACATTAAAATCTGTTGTGTTAATTTCCTTYTGAATTCCAGCGGATTTATTAGAGAAAAAGAATGCGGTGAAGTGAAAGCGGCTGTTGCAAAACTGCGATCAAGAAAGCCTTACAACACGTCATAAACGAAATAAAGAAATATGTTTATGTCTAATAAAAAATAAATTTATGTTGCATATTATTAATGAAATTAAAAAACATTTAAAAATACAAAGAGCTACTTTAAATCAAACCTTCAAGGCCAAGGGGCGTAACGTTACATCGATCCACATCTATATACATCAAAAGCACTTATCATGTCGTAAGCTCAATGTGGATCAACATGTCAATCACAGACTTATGACATGAATGTGATATTGAGAATCATTGCATCATAATTATCTAGACAAATCAAAATAACATATAAAGCTGGTGAGTTATGCCCCTTTTTTCTGAAACCACCAAATCAGCATGATGAGTTAAAATCAACCTACTGCTGTTACACCTCTGAGCAACCAAACAAAGCAGTAACTGAATGGTTAACACACAAATAAATAAGACAAAATTATGCTTCAGAAGTGTGATGTAGTGACCTGCTGGCCTTGGGATGAAGTCGTTGTCTGCACTAACCAGTATATTTTTTAACTGTTTTATTTTTCTCAATTTAAAACAAAAATTCTACTAGAATCATTTTAACACAAAATGTCAAAATACGTATGGCAAGCCACAAGGTGTGAAGAACGCAATCATTAAGATTGATAACTAAGATTTTAACTATTTCAGCCCACAAAGTTTAATGACTAGTAAATTTTAGAAAACAATGTTTTTTAAGGGACTTAAGCAGCTTCATGGCATATATATGGAAAAACCTTTTGAAAATTAAATCAATTATTTAAAATGTCATGTCACATTATTACAG